GAGTTTCCACCATGATTACATATAAAGATTGCATATACTCATACACATAGCTAATAATAAATATACAAGGATACAGCTCGACAAACGTGCCCTTCCAATTCAGATTTACAATAGGGTCTAATAAACATCATACAGAACACTTCTTAATAGTTTTTATCTGGATAGATTTAAAGGGGTAAAAAAATACAGCAGCCTCTCTGTTTCAGGGATGTTCTTAGGCTTTGCCCTATTCATGAACTATCACCTGAGTCATACATTTAAACTTGTCTGGCCACCATGTTGGAGCTACCTTGATTCGGCGAGATCGCTAAGTCTGTTGGCAAAACAAGTGTTGTAACGGCCGTTTAAGTATAAACGGCCGTTACTAACGGCCGTTACTTTTTCAGTAACGGAATAATCTTACATGATACTTTTCCCATCGTATGCCAACGCTGGTTACCGTTACTGAGACATGTACCAGTGGCGCCGTTACTTGCGGTTACCACAGTGTGGTTGGAATGAGCAGCAGCCCGGTGTCAGGCTTTTCTGCACAGGCACAGCCTGACAGCTGCCGGCGGAGCGACGGCAGGGGTGTGGGATGGATGACACCTTGGCACACCAACTGCACGCACTCGTCTGTACAGTGCCTCATTTTGTCTGTTGTTGGAGTGGATGTAAACCTATATTGTTAGCGAGCTAACGCTAGCTGCTCGGCGGGTCGGCTATCGCCAAATTTCAATTAAAAGATGATACACATACGAATCTACTTCCACAGCTATTAATTAGCAATCAGGGGTGGTGAATTGGCGTTTTCATTCTTGCTGTTCAACACATGAGGTCTGGCGTCAAATGCTCATTTTACGTTTAATAAAACAACGTGTTCAAATATCTGGGTAGCAGACATCACATCAGTCATTAAGTAGGCTGAGCGATATTTGTTCAAGTTAGAACCAGTTTTAAGATTACTAGCCGGACAACAACACACAATCTTTTTGTGTGGTGTGCTTAATGGTTTTAGTGTTAAATCGAGTTAATGCCACAGCCTTCCCCCTCTGCTCTCCGTCCACTGTAACGGTATTTACCCATTATCTCAGGATATTTTATTCAAGTGCCTCTAAGACTGGCTTGACATTAGGCAAGTGGGTTAGTAAACGTTAATCTTGTTTACACTTATAACGTTGGCCAGGCCTAACGGATGACTATTTTTTGAAGTGTTTAAATGTTTCTTTCGTAGCCATTTACTGTATCCATACGATCGGTAAATCGTAGAAAGCTGCTAATTGCTTGTAATACTGTCTATGGCCCGGTAACTCCGGTAGGTATCAACTTCAAGATGGCCGCTAAGTTAGGGTGGGAAAGAGGTGATGACGTAAAAGGTACGTGACTGGATTTCATGATATAATATGGAGTATGGAGCATGTTCAGAATTTCAGGTCCAAACAACTGATGTTAGCTAACGTTAACTTCTGGTGATGCTGCAGAGGTTTTGATTGACAGCCTCCGAAGCAAGTTGAATCAGCACATGGCTCATTGACTATTAAAATTTTTAGCCATGTGGTTGATCGGTCACGAAAATGTAACCAATGAAATTCTTACTTACTTTTTGGTCAATAATTTGATAATGTGTCAAAAGGCGGACTTTTTTGTTATTTTCTCAAAAGGGGAGGCAAATGAGTGTATATATAAAGATCTGAGTGCTTAAATCCAATGAGTATTTCCCTAGTATACGATACAATCCATCGATACTTTTAAAACGAGTTAGATTCGATATATGTCGTCGGGAGGCCAATTTGCCGCAGCACAGATCAGATGTAGTTGGATCATAGGAATATAAATGAGACATCGCTGTAGTGGATGAATCGTTACACCCTAGTTCTTACCTTAACTCGGTGGCACATTAGGTGCCCATCACGTTGCAAAAAAGTTCAGTGACGGTGAAGTTAACGGAGTTATAGTCGCAGCCCACGGGAGCCACTTCCTTTCGTACTTTTTCCATTATAAAAAGCCTTCATGAGTTCTTAACACGTCTAGCACACAAGGTTTCGGCTTTGCTTCCATTTTAACATGGCAGCGTCGGGTAAAAGCTTTAGCGCAATGACTTGACATGTCCCGAGTCAATGACCATTGGGGGGCGGGGCACACGGGGGTGGCCCCAAACAGACTTACAGGGGGGGCGGGGTGCCCCCGTTGCCACCAATGGGGAAGCCGGCACTGGTCTCGTTCTTGGTATCTCTCTGGGTCTTCTGTCTTTCTCTCATGGTCTCTTTCTGGGCTCATGGCCTTGTCTCTCTCGGAGTCTAATTTTGTTCTGCCTATGATATGGAGGCTATATGTAGCAAAAACTAATTACATTTTGGTGTTTGGAAAGTTGGGTGTAACTGCTATCTCAATCTCTCTGTGTGTGTAATCTGATTCTGTAAATGTTGTAAAAAATGGTACAAATCTGTATTCAAGATTTTGCAAATCTGTAAGCTGTGTGACAAATCTGTAAGTGCAGAATACATATAATAGGTTGAAAAAAAAATCTAAGTATTTACTCAAAGAGCTGGACATACAGACAAGGTCAGTGGTTACAATCTTTGTACACACAAACTCTTTGGCTCACCTCACACTTGTTGGTGTGGTGGGGGAGAGTTTTTTGCTCAGTGCCACACCACTTCTGTCTGGGACTAAGTAACTGGTGAGTACTGGTGTGACAGTTTAACTGCGTGGTTGAATTAATGTGATATTTCCCGAGCATTGATGAGATTTGTACACTAAACAATACTTTGGCTTTTTTTTTAAACTTTAGACTTAACAGGTTACCTGGAGTTGAATTAATTTTATTTGCGACGGCGAGTCTCCAGACGCTTGAAGATGAATGGCAAAGTTACTGTGTCGATTGCCATGTTTCCAAACATGCAAATGTCAATAAATAATCAGAAAATGTCCTTGCTCTCGTTTTACGTATCCTTATTAATCTTGATGTCAAGTCTGTTTGAGAACAGTTTTTATGTCACACAGTCATAGTTGTAAGAAACGATACAGGCTGCAGTATTATGTGGAGTCAGTTGTGCAAAGCGTGATACGTCGACCATTCGCAGGGTACCGTCGAATCATGTTCGCATCTACACATTTATCTACAATTCACAATATGGGGATATACATGGGACAGGACATTTCTTTTTTCATCCAAATTGGAAACTGTCAAAAATACTTTTGCAATTAGGAACAGAAATTGGACTACAGGGTCTACACTATACAAATCCGATTCACATTCACAACTTTGTGGGATTTTGAATAAATTGGACAGAGATTATAATATGTGATAGAATTGTGGTATTATATATTGAAACAGTCAGTATATGTTTAATACCATCT